AATTCCTCAACGACAAATAGAAAAGAAAAACAAATATTTGAAAATAGTTGAAATGCAGGAAGCAATTGAAAAGAGAAATAGCGAGACATTTAAGGAACTTACAGAGAGAAAGAGATTGGTCCTTCTCGACGGAGAGAAAAACGGAGGCGGCAGATTTTTTAGGGTTTTTCATTTATCGCGATATTTTGGAGGCGTATGGTTCTTTTTTTGTATCACTCGGAGTGTGTTTCCGGTCTTTCTTCTTTATCCTCTCTTTTCTCGTTCTTTTTGTTTTTCCGACTTTTCATTTTCATTTTTATTTGTTACCTTTTTGGGTTTCTTTGGCGATATATCGCGGTCAGCTTATGCTCCGAGTTCAGCACCCGAAGAGAAAAGAAAGACAAAATAAAATCATTGCTTCCAGCCAATCACATGATTACACGATCCGATCTTCTTCTTTTTTTCGTTTTCATCATATGAAATTATCCAAACAAATTATTAGCACCATATTAATTTATTATTTATTGCGAATAGGTTTTTTTTCCTATAACATTAGATGCCTCGATGACTGATTTAGTGTAAATAACATCCAATATGAATTTCAGACCCCAAAAAAATAAAAAATAAAAAATCCAATATGAATTGACATATATTAAGCAAAACCTATTTCTTTGAGTTAGGCAGGATTTTGAAAGGAAAAATAAAAAATATAATAATAGCAGCCAGCAGGTAAGCCCATTGATTGTAACCTTTGGATGCCAAATTACTAATTATTGACCACTACGCAGCTCTAGTAAAAATAAATGAATAGTTCCGATTGGTCTCAGAGTACACTCGTGCACTCTACATCTCAAGTCCCACATTGGTCGTTCTTTTCCCCCCCCAACAACCTACGTGGCAGCATCTTGCGAAGGGCCACCTTTGATTGGTACTTCGGTCGGCCTAAGAGTAATTGTCGCGCCACTTTCGGTGGTTGTGAAGTATCCAATGGAGGTTAGGTGACCAGTGCAAAGATTAGAACCATTGATTAGGGGCATTAACAATTTGATAGGAAGTCAAAGATAATTACTCTAACTTGAAAATCGCAACCGATAATACCAAATTGAGATTATGTGAATTTATGAGAATTACAACACAAAAGGAAGTGCGTACATTCATTGGAATATTTTGAAAAGGGTCTCGAGTAGTTGAAAACAGCTCAATCACTCGAGATTCTTTTGAGTATCATTCAAGCCTTCTTGAGCCTTTTTGAGCTTCGAGTAATTCCTTTCAAAATTCTTTAAGAGAAATAACTTACGCAAACTTTTTTAACATGTCTGGAACTTTGATAGTTGTTAAATGTCACTAGATTTCTTGCTTTCCTTGGTTCTTATTTGGCAAATCTCTCACTAAAACAATAATAAAAGTCAAATCATGATTTTGGGATTAGGTTTGAGAAGCATTTTGACTATCTAATATCATATTCGTTTTACTTGAGTTCTTGTCTATCTACGCATCATTACCTCACAGAATAGTGACAGAAATATGGCCAAATTTTCAAATTAAAAAAAGGTAAGGAACAAATTTCATTTTGGTACGTAATTAGAACAAAAAGACAAGATAGAAAACTACCCAACAAAAAAAAAAAAAAAAACCTAGTTTGTTAGCTTCCTCTCACTAGAAAAAAAAATAAAAATTCTCGAGCTCAACAACTGCACCAGCGTTAGACCCAAAAAAAATATAATTGTTTAACATTTTTGAGCTTCTTCTTGACTTTCCTTAACGCCTGATCTCTTGGTCTTCTCCAAATCCACATGCACCCTCCTGTTCATGCGCTAAAAAATAAAGCAACAAGCTTTCTCCATTGGCTTTCTTCCCATCAATAATGATTATCTTATTTATGGCTTCCTAACTTCTCTGCATGTGGCCATGCTGCTTCGGCAAGCAAGCCCAGCTCATCTCCATCATCACCACCATCATTGCAGGTTACCCATTTGCCCATTTACCTCTGTGACTCTCTGTCTCTCTGAAACCACAACAGCAATCAATGTTGTGTGCCCAAATGAAATGACCCAATACTAAAAACTTTAGTTGCAGGAAGCAGCAAGGGGAAGATATCAAGATAGGCTGATTGTTGGTTGATTTTTGGGATGCCTATGGTGTGATCTGAAGCCACAAGTAAGTTTTTTTTTATTTGTCTTTTGATTATAGCTGTGTATGGTTTCTCTGTATATGCTAGGTCGAACATTGTTGGGTTTATGTGAAAGTGATGGGAATTAAAGAAAGTACAATTTGTGAGAGATTTTCTTGGCAACCTAACAGAGTTGGTGAAACAAGGAAAGTATACACTTCTCTTTCTCCTAATTCAAACTTAACAGCTGCTTTTATTGACTGGATCTTCAAATTTAAAACATTTAATGATGTCAACCTTATTAGCAGTGCTTTCAGAAATTAGGCTGCTCTGCCTACTAATACTATGACCACAGCTCATGCACAGTTTATAATGTTTCTCATGATAAGTTTTTGAATTTCATTTATCCAAATTCATGTGTAGTTGGGATCAAGAAATCAGTCTGTGCTTTGCCTGCAGGAGAAGATGGACACGAAAGTAGAGCTTTTGTTCGTGTTGTTGATTGGAACCATTTTCTTGCATGCCACTGCCGACCCAGTTGTAGATAAGCAAGCTTTGCTAGATTTCCTTCACAATATTTCTCACTCAAACTCTATCAAATGGAATGATAACTCTTCTGTGTGCAAAAACTGGACTGGAGTGATTTGTAGCGAAGACCAGTCCAGAATAATAGAGCTCCATTTGCCTGGAGCTGCTTTACATGGTCCAATCCCAGCCAACACTCTCAGCCGCCTATCTGCCCTTCAGGTTCTCAGTCTCAGGTTGAATAGTTTAACAGGTCCATTCCCTTCTGATTTTTCTAAACTTGAAACCTTAACCTCCCTTTATCTTCAATTCAACAACTTCTCCGGCCCATTGCCTTTAGATTTTTCACCTTGGAAGAATCTTACTGTCATGAATCTCTCAAACAATGCATTTAGTGGGAAAATCCCTTCCTCAATTTCAAGTTTGACTCACCTCACAGTTCTGAATCTTGCCAACAATTCGCTTTCGGGTGAAATTCCTGATCTCAATCTTCCTACTTTGCAACAGCTTGATTTAGCTAACAATAATCTCACAGGGAATGTGCCTCAGTCTCTCCAAAGATTTCCAGGTTGGGCCTTTTCAGGTAACGGTCTTTCATCACAATGGGCCCTTCCTCCAGCTCTTCCAGTTCAACCACCTAATGCTCAACCAAGAAAAAAAACAAACCTTGGTGAACCTGCAATACTGGGTATTGTGATTGGCGGATGTGTTCTGGGGTTTGTTGTAATTGCTATTGTGATGATTATTTGCTGCACCAATAAAGAAGGTGAAAATGGGCCAGTTGAAAAACCACAGAAGAAGAAAGAAATCTTTTCAAATAAAGGAGTTTCTGAGAAACATGACAAGAATAATAGGCTTTCCTTCTTTGAGGGTTCTAATCTTGCATTCGATCTGGAGGACTTGCTGAGGGCATCTGCTGAGGTGCTTGGTAAAGGAACATTTGGGACAACATACAAGGCTGCTTTGGAAGATGCAACTACTGTCGTGGTGAAGAGGTTGAAAGAAGTGAGTGTTGGAAAGAAGGAATTTGAGCAGCAAATGGAGATTGTAGGAAGTATCAGGCATGAGAATATAGCTGCTCTAAGGGCATATTACTATTCCAAGGATGAGAAGCTTGTTGTGTACGATTATTATGAGCAGGGGAGTGCCTCTTCATTGTTGCACGGTATAACAAAAGCACTCCTCTTACATTTTTTGTTCTTTTTGACTCATTTGCATCAGATGATTTTTAGTTATGTTCAGTGTTTATAATGGTGTTTATGCTTCTTTAATCTTGCAGCTAAAAGAGGAGAGGGGAGGACGCCACTAGACTGGGAGACTCGACTAAGAATAGCAATTGGTGCAGCCAGAGGCATTGCTCATATCCACACACAGAATGGTGGAAGACTTGTCCATGGAAACATAAAGGCCTCAAACATTTTCCTCAACTCTCAAGGATATGGTTGTGTGTGTGACATTGGTTTGGCAACACTGATGAGCCCAATGCCCCCGCCCGCAGCTCGTGCTGGAGGATACAGATCCCCAGAAGTGACAGACACTCGAAAGTCTTCCCATGCATCCGATGTCTACAGTTTCGGGGTCCTGATACTTGAGCTCCTCACTGGAAAAAGCCCCATACACACAACAGGTGGTGAAGAAGTTATCCACTTGGTAAGGTGGGTGAACTCTGTGGTCAGGGAGGAATGGACAGCAGAAGTGTTTGATGTAGAGCTCTTGAGGTATCCAAACATTGAGGAGGAAATGGTAGAGATGTTGCAAATAGGAATGTCTTGCGTGGCTAGAATGCCGGAGCAACGACCAAGCATGCCGGATGTGGTTAAAAGGGTGGAGGAAATTCGTCAAGTCAACACTGGAAATCCGCCATCGTCATCAGGAATATCTACTCCAGTCCTAACACCTCCACCTCCTACAGCCGAGATAGGATCCTCCTCTCAACCACAGTGAAATTCATTCTACATAGTCAAGTTGTTAGTTATTATAATATAAATTTATTTTTATCTTTCAATTCAATTGAAATACGTTCGGATCTATGACAGCTAGTGCTGAAATTAGTTGAACTACCTGTTGTAGTTGGTTCTTTGACTATTGTACAATTTGTCTGGGCTTGGTTGTGATGAACGTGATATTCAGTTTAATGGTCTTTGCTCATTAGTAAAACCAATCACTGTCTCTGCTTGAAAACGGAGGGAGAGCATATGCAGAATTATAGTATATTGATGTTCTTGAAACTATCTAATTGATGGATGCACATAACCTGCTTTTTTGTCATCTTCTGAAACCTATCTAATTAATCTTCCTTTTGGAATTCTTTTCTTGGCAAATCAAGTTTTTCCAATAGAATCACGCATAGGGGCCTTACAAATTTTCCAACACGCAGAATCACTGATCAATGGGTAATGTCTGCAATTGCAAAAGAAATACGAGACACGTACAAAAGGCTCGATTTTGAAATCTACACACAATGGCATTGGCTTATCAATGATTTCATACATCCAGATTAAACTGGTGAGGTGAGGTCTGAAAAATACAACGTATCTTTTTTAGTATAAGAATCACACTGAAATGAGAATAAAGACAACATTTTCCCTATGGGGTCGGGCATGATGCTGAGCAGAAACTTAGCATGCAATAGATAAAGAATCATTCATCTTTACAATGAACAGAGCTGATCCCTTCATATTCTAAGAAACATTCGATGGGACGTATAATCTGCAATCACTTCTTCAAAATTCTTGTTTTAACACCCCCTGAAATTCATATAAACAGAAAGGATTCAGGGTCCCATAATCCAGTGAAATCATTTACCAGAGTTAATAGCAAATAGTTGGGCAAATAATTTGGAAGTGGTAAAATCCTAGAACAAAAAGGTACCAGACCTTCAACTTCCTCAAATTGAACCTCCTTCACGAATTCTGCAGTTGCATTATACTCAAAACTGCAAAAAGGGTAAAACATACGAAAGAACAATTTCAATGTAACTCAAAGGGTAAAAATATTGCAATAGAAAGAGATTTCGCACATACGGCTACAACGCTAATGTAGTCCACAACATTAAAACAAAAGTAATTGTCGTCCACTGGAAAAAGAACTGAAAAGGAAAAGTAAACTCTCATAAGAAGGATGCTTTCAACCATTACACTGAAGGTACTATCTTATATCATGAAGATTCTAAGAACGAGCATCCATCCAAACAAGCAACACCTTTCACTTTATTTTTCCAGAATAAACCTAACTTACATAGAAACCACATATGCAATATCCTACATATCCCCTTCTCAAAAAGTAAAGCTCATATTCCCATCTCACAGCATCTAACAAGTGGTAGCAATGGGGTTATATGCTGCACTCAGAAATGAATCTATTGACTCTATCCCAATGGTCGTAGACTCGTAGGAGTGACAGATATCAAGAAGAATAGTCCAACAGAAAATAAAAACAAAATTTTTGTCTGCATAAACTTTTCCAAGATACCCAATGTGGCTACCTATTGATGCATGCATATCCAGATATGCATACATAAGCTACAAATGAACATTGCTGATAATAACCAACGCATATGCAATCAATCTGAGATTCCTAATTAGCAGTCTAACAGGAAAGTGGGGAGGTGGATTTGGTATACTAAAGAGTAAACAAGAGAAGCCATGAAAACACATAATAAGAAGCACAAATTTGCATTACCTGTTAGAGAAACAAACTTCAAGTTCGTAATCAGAAGCACTCTTAGTAGCTTCAACTAAGACAGTAACGATTTCAGTCTTGCGAGTACTAGCCATGAGTACATCATACTCAGTCGGAATGATAATTGCGAAAAAGTTATCACTTAGTTCACTCAAGCACATCCTCTCTACAGCTGCAAGGGCTATCCTCCGTTTCAGTGCATCGGCCTCTGGGTCAACAATGTAGATGGCAAAGTCAGTGATCATCAAAATGCGCCGCTTCATCTTCCCAGAAGCAGTAAACTTCAAAACTTTATCGGCAAACAGAACCTCCTTGTCCCCTGAAAAATTCAATGCAACGGAATTCAATCAAGTAACTCCATTAGGCACAAGAAAATGCTTAAATTCTCTTACTTTCCACTCCATTAACTGGTTCTCAAATAAGAATGATACGCAAATGATTACCAATGCTACATTATCTTTACACAACCAAACATCTATCTTCTGAACCAAAACTTCCAATTCAATACCAAAAAAGAAGGCAAAATGAAAAATTGATGTTTGATTTACCGAACAGATAGCAAAATTGAAAACATTATAAAAGGCGAGACCTTGTTTCTGCAAGATTTTCATCAAGTACGGATTGGAACGGACGTCGATGTAGTCTCCTTTGTATTCTCTGCGAAACGAAGCTTTTCTTCGGACCTTGACCCCCATGAAGGGCTCCTGATCTTCAGTGACGTTGCTATTTCTAATTCCGCCATTATCTTCTCCGTCGTTTTGGTGGCCTAGGGCTTCCGAGGGGTTCCCCTCTTCATCTTCCGCCACATCATATTTGGGAATCTCCGTCGGGGATTCGTCCACCTGGACCCGCTTCGGAACCTTCAACCGCTGCATTTTCAGGCGTCGTTACGGCGACTCAGAGACGGTAAGCGACGAGGAGTGAGGTGGCGTGCGGGTTGTGGATGCTAACTTGCCCCGGGCGTACGCTGCGCACCATGTGCAGCAGGGGGGTTGTAATCGGTGAGTTGGATTCTCAAATCTCCTACTAATCATCCAATCTACGCAACGGCGCACGTTAGAAACATCGATCATTGGGTCCCATGAGAAGCGTGTGCTCTTCTGCGATCAGCTTAGGGACTGTAGGTGATCTGAGACGTCGGCACTGCGGGACCCAGATGCATATCGACCGTCCATCAGATAACAGCAAGTGGGCTAGGATTTCCCCTCGTAATCACCGTCTACTTTCTAGCTGGTGGATCACAGTATATAACGTGTAGGACAACTGTCATCAAACAGAATAAAATCCTGACTTAAATTTAAGAAAATTAAATAGATTTATTATTTGAATTATTATATGATTTACTTTTTCTTCTTTTTTTATTTAATGATCCATCTATATAATTTATTTGAGATGAAATTTATAAATAAATAAATTTAATACAAATTTATAAATAAACTCACTCCTACACATGTATTTATAAAAAAATTCAAATACTATTTAAACATAGGAACACACTTAAAATCAACTCCAAAGTTAACAATTGTATATTTTTTGGGTGTGTTAATAAATGAGTTTTGAGTGTGTGTAATGATGGGTTTTGGATATGTTTATAAAGTGTTTTGAGTATTGAGTTTTTTTTTATAATTTTAGCTCATATTTTGGGTGTTTTAGTGAAACTCCTTAAATTTAATACAATACGATGGAATTTAATCACGCACATTGGATATTGGGCCCACTCAATCGTCGCTCTCCGACCGTGTGGTTGACCGCCGGCGTTGAAACTTTTAACCAATGGCAGCAGCCAACAGAAAGGACCAAGTCGTTGAACGCGCCTCTGGGGATAGGGAAACGACGTCGGTTTGGTGTCCCAAATGAAATCACCTTGACGCAAAAGCTATATTCTATTCCGCGGTGACTTTCGGCGCCAAAAAAAAAAGACAAAAACAAAAACCAACCGGAAAAAAAAAGGGAAAAGAAAAGAAGAAAGAGAAAGATTTTCGTAAAGGAAACGCCAAGTGGGACCCAGACAGAGGGAATAGAATTTAATCCAATCAGCAGCAACAGGTCGATTACAGAGCGGTTTTTATAAAAGTCGTTCCATTTCATCAAAACATATTCACAATCCGCCCTCCTCAATTTCCATTTTCCATCTCTTTCTTTATCTTCTTCTTCGATTCAGTGTTCACGTAGGAAGGAGGACGATCTCTGTCTTCGTTCCTCTCTGTAACTCTTCCTATCAGGTACGATCTCTTCGCTGAAATTTAAGTTATTTTTAGGTGCTGGTTGTTGTGCATGGTTTTGGTTTTGGTTTTTGATCTGAGATGGTGATTTTGGATATTGGAAATAGGGTTTCGCAAATGGCCTCCAAACGGATCTTGAAGGAACTCAAAGATTTGCAGAAGGATCCTCCTACATCATGCAGCGCCGGTAATCACATTTTCCTGCTTATGAATTCATTTCCCGTTCTGAATTTTGGTTTTTTTTCTTGAATTCTGGGTTGTTTGCTTCATAAATTTTGAATCTATGTGTCGATGTTGGCATGAAATTTCAGCTTTAGTTTACCACTTTCCATTCCAAATGATTCTGTTGAGTGTGATCAGTTGGTGCTTTATGGATGGTTGGTGATTTGCAGTGAATTATCTGGGATAGTTGAACATTGTAATTTTGGTATGTTGCAAAATTCATAAGGAAAAATTCCTGGGTCAATTTTTTGTAGTAGATGCTAAGAAGCGTATACTGGAAACTGAAATATGACTTCCAACAATAACATTAGTAATTTTACTTATTTCATCAGTTTGTGCATAGTTACTTCACATAGGAAAGCGAAACTACGATCAGAATTAGTATAAGCCCACATGTCACTCATAATTCGTGTTTGATCCTGTACATTGATGTGTCGCCTGTGCTGAGATCAGAATTGTGGGTATATCTCTGGGTAATTTGGGTTTGTTCCTACCATATGTTTTACATAATTAGTGAAGAATGATTATACACTAGGTGCTTTTCATCATATAATTGCCTTCCTGTAAGGAGGATGCTATGAAACTTGGAAGGTTTTCCTTTGGGTGTCTAAAGACCTGTGTTCATATCTTGGCATGAAAAATTGTGCAAACCATCATTATCTACAAACTATACACGAATCGATGTGCTCTTAACCGTTGTAACTTGCATTTGACTAATGTTCTCGCAATTGCTCTTGCACCATTCGTGAACCATGGTTTTGGCATTCCGATCTGGACAATCAAGTCAAAAAGCATGTTTAGCTAGCTAAAATTGATTTATAATATTTTCACCCTTTCCAAATTGTAATGGATTCTATTGGTCCAGCTTGGCTACCTGGTCAGATGTTCAGATTGTGACGTTGTCTGCAGCTGGATTATCCAGTCTGGTCAGAGGCTTTACATACTACCAACTGGTTTAAATTTTGAACTTTGCTCTACATGACCATAAGCATTCAAAAGATTTATTACCCTTCTTGTACTGCATATAGGAAGTGACTAAAATATATAATGTCATTTTTCTATGCTTTTTGTTTGTTTTATGGTTATGCAGATTGCCTTCAGAAGATACACATTTTTACTCATATATAGTGTTGTTTCGAGGACAGATGATGTTCATTCAAGAGCCTTCTTGTGTTATTTGAACTGAGACTTTTTTAAAGCAATCTGTATAAATCCTGCTCCATTTGCCATAAATATTTGTATTATTTCATTAATTTCTGGCCTTGTTTTCTTTGGGGATGTTGCAGGTCCCGTTGCCGAAGACATGTTCCACTGGCAGGCAACAATAATGGGTCCCCCAGACAGTCCTTATGCTGGGGGTGTTTTCCTAGTTACTATTCATTTTCCTCCAGATTATCCCTTTAAGCCACCGAAGGTACTAACTATCCAATTTTAAGAATGAAGTTTGTTTCTTTATCTCTGAACTTCAGTGGTCCACACAATTCGTTTTCTCTCCTTGAATACTTTTACCGATGATGTGATGAAGTTTGACTGGGGTTTGAACTTTAATTGATCTCCTTATGGTAAGATACCAAGTTTTTCAGACTCATCTTCTTCTTTCTTCCATACTCGGCGGACCTACTACCTTGAATACCGATATTTTGATTTTTTTTTTAGTAATTAAGTAAGTTTTCTTCTTCTACCACTACCACCTCCTCAACCACCACCAGCACTTTTACTTGGGGCAAACATTATCATTGCCCTTAACATTTTCAGTTAATGCACTGCAAGAAACTATGCGGGACTCCTACTTTCCAGAAGACGGAGAGTATTTGGGGTTGTATACTTCTATAAAGTACAATAAGAAGGCTGTTGTGGACGTTTTTCCTGCATATAGCAGAAATACCGTTGCATTCTCTGTGTCATCATTCAATACTTTGTGTCGTTTTTCTGATAATTTAATTCTCGTTCTCTCATTTTCTCCCTTGCTGATAAATTGATGGTTTTTGTAGGTGGCATTTAGAACGAAAGTATTCCACCCAAACATAAACAGCAATGGGAGCATTTGCCTTGACATCTTGAAGGAGCAGTGGAGTCCTGCTCTAACTATTTCCAAGGTTTGCTCTAATAGCCAAGCTCCTATATAGAAAATTTGAGAAGTCTATATTTTAGAAGTTAGAGGAGTGACAATTGTGATGTTATCATTCTGGAAAAGTGGCTGTGACTTATCACTGCACGCAGAGCCTGTTGCTTTTAAACTGCTATAAGAGTCATTCCTTGCAAATACATTTCCTCACAAATGTAGTCAGCTTTGATATAGATTTCTTTTAGGGTGTTCATTAGAAACAGTTCTCACTCGAACTGGTCTGTTTATATTGTAAGTTATCGTAGTGTTCGTTTTCTTGATCAGGTTTTGCTTTCCATCTGTTCTTTGTTGACGGATCCGAATCCTGATGATCCATTGGTGCCGGAGATTGCCCACATGTACAAGACAGACAGGAATAAATACGAGACAACAGCAAGGAGCTGGACCCAGAAATATGCCATGGGCTAAAATGAGGTGTGGTATGTGCGATAGGAAGGCCCTTATATCTTCTTTCCCGTGGTTTTAGTTGTGTATGAGGGATGTCTCTTGAATCCTAAAATGGACTAAAGAAGAGTTCCATAACATGTCCCCCGTTTTAAAAAAAGAAAAGTCAACACATGTTGCTTTCCTATTGTTTGTATGGATAATCATAATGGTGATCTTTTGAACAATGAATAGCCTCCCCACTATTGTTTCGTTCTTATTTTTTGTTGGAAATTTGAGCTGACGAAACTTTACCATCAGGATCAAGAACCTTCGCATTGAAATGACTACAATTCTGGTCGTCCTTGAATCTAAATTAGCCATATTTGTGGGGAAGGATTTGCAGTATCTCTGTACATTTAGAAAAGTCCTCGCACTCGATTGTGAACGATAAATGAAGAAAAAATAAACTTCACTGTGAGCGAGGCCAGACAACCAAAGGGTGGTCTTAGATTCTATAATAACTTAAGGCATCACAAAATAATGTAATAATGAAGACAATGTGTATATCCAGGCTTCAGAAACAAGTCTTACTTTTCTTGTCCGCTTGCAGTGATTGATCAATTACTTCATCCCCTCAACTGTTTGCCCAGTAGTTTCTACTTTCTTTCTTCAAATGACCCCCAAGATCATGCAATCCGGGAGCTGCTCCAATGAGGGGGCTATGGTGAAGTGGGTGTGTTGATGGATTCAAACAGGCCCGACTATCATATTTACTAATGGCCCGAATAGAATTAAAGAAAAATGTAAGTTGAGCTTGCCTGCACATCGGGCCTTTCCAGCTCTCTTCACCCTAACTTGATCCTAATCTCTTAAGAGCCCTTTAGGCTAGAGCAAAGCCCAAACTAAAATCTAAAATCTCAGCTTTAGGTAAGGCTGGACCAACCTGTTTTACATCCTTGAGTTGAGACCTTGATGCCTTTGTATGAGTTATTTGAGTTTGCAAAAGTAATAAAACATTCTAAGAGCATCTCCAAGGGAGATGTCAAATACCAAACATCAAATTTAAATTTGATGTCTGATGTGGCAATTTGACATATTGTAAAACTCTTTATCCAACCAAGATATCAAATATAC